GGGGGGGGGGGGGGGGTGGGTAATCACCAGTATGTGTCAACAGAGCTTACGTGGCATGGAAATACTTCAGTGAATTGTATCTGTTGTTTCATATATGGATTTTAGTGAATTTCTGGGAGATTTACATTGTCATGTATTTAAAGAAATTGATAAAGCATTACTGTAATTCTGAATTTCTTTGTTCTGACTTAATTAACTTACTAAACCTGTTTTCCTTGTTTTGAAATTGTGTACAACACTTAAACTCTTGTAAATGTTTGATTGATTTTGTTGAATTGAACTGGTCTCTGACATGAACTTAAAGCTTCAACAAAACCTACAAACACTTCTTCAAAAAAATGTTTTGCCTTTTTTCTTTTTACACTTTTATTGACAGAAACATTGCAGAAAGTACATGTAAATGATGGGATGAGGAGAAAGTTGTTGGGAACCACAATTCGTCCCCAACACAAGCACTGCATGAACAAACTCTTTACCAGGTTGAAATGTCATCTTTGTATTCAAATGAACCCCAAACCTTAAAAATAAAGCATCCATAAATACATTTTCTGTTTTTGAATCAAAGATTTGATTTATGGTAAATGATACATGATAGTGTATAAGTGACAGCAGTCTAATAATGCTGCCGATTGTCATTAAAGGGATAGTTCACCCAAAAATCAAAGATGTTGGCTTCATGTTTTAGATATACAGTTTTAGTGTATTTAAAGTAAGCACTAAATATCATATAATTTGTGAATATGTCAAGAATTCATTAAATCAGTGATTGTGGAATTATGCTCATAAAATATGCAATGTCTGATTGTGCGGAAAAAGGAAGTCAAAGTTTTTTTCCACAGAAAAAGTCATTAAAAATACCCACTCTGTTCAGTTTTTTCTCTTCCTTTTTGAATTACTGAGAAGCAGTGTTCTGCACTGGTTCTGGGAATGAAAACAAAATATGAAAAAAAAATAATAATAATTTTCACTGAAACATGAATGAAAATTAAATCAATTTAACCTTTACTTCATGAGATCCATCAAGAGTATATCACCAGATACAGTATAAGGAGGAGACAAATAACTCAAAACACAACACTCAATATATGGCAGCTTGTCAGGAGCATCATCTTGATCTTTTTGCTCCAGAATGTTGTTTATGCACATGATCTGGAAAAAACAGAAAACGTTTAGCCTGTCATTGAAAGCTAAGCTTGGAAAACACCTTTGAAGAATTGTGTCTTTCCTCATTCAAGCAGACAGGACCTATACTTGCATGACTAGAAAATAAACCAGCGGTGAAACCAAAATGATCACTGAGTCTTTCGACTGTTATCTTTCAGTTTTTATAAGCAAACACATGCTTATTAAGTGGACCTTTGTTTAAATGTAATGTAGCCGTATAGGGAGATATGTGGTGGATCAGGTTTGTGTGCTTCTGCTCATAGTACATTTCGTTAAAAGGGTTCATATTGCATGTTGACTGACAAAGCAGGAGAAATACTCGCTCATCTCACTGCAACAGCAGTGTTTCCTTGCCTTTGGTGTCGGTATGTACTGTAATATTTGTAGAGCTGACTTTGGCCATTGACATTTTATTCTTGATTATTTGTTGAGTATCTAATAGTAGACTTTACTTACGGAAGATGTTTTGTATCGTTTCTTACATTCTTGCATTATCTTCTCTTCATTGATAATAGCTTGATCTTTGACTTCTACTGCTATAAATGTGTAATGGTAATTTTTTATTTGTTTTTCAAATGTTATAAGTTGTTTTAAAAAATTATCACATGGTTATTGTTCCTGCAGAGAACTTGATAATCTATCATCTCATCCCCTTCATCATGCTGCTGCTTCTTCATGTGCTGATGCTGTCACTTCTCTCCAGTGGTTCGGCTAGAGTGCAGGATTTTGAGGGTGAATGTGGTCAATTTTTTGCAAATAAAAAACCACCAACGAGATTTGCTGGGGCACAGTACAAGCAGATCTGCCAAATGCAAAATTATGTTTATTATTATGCCACATTTTATGACACTGACAAGAGGATTCCCCTATACTCAGCCTACAAGTTTAAAGAGATCAAGAACTGCACAAGACTAAACAACTGGTACATTGAACCACAAGTAAGTGAAATATTACTCTAAATTACTTCTGGTATCACATTATTTATTATTTAAATTTTATATTAGGTGGTTGTAAGGATGTTTTTTTTTTAATCTTTTTTAATCTTTTGGTGTGGATGGAGTCATCTCAGATCTACTATTACTATTAATGAGCTGTTAATATTAATAATAATAAAAAAAAACATCTCAGCAGAAAAAAAAATCAACTTACATTTACTTAACAGCAAAATATCACAAATATTTTTTTTTTTTTCAAGTAGACCATTTAACCAAAAGTATTTTGTTGGATATCACATAATATATCAACAGATAAACTGTTGAAGACAAAAAGAATTAAGACACTTCACTATGTTAACCTTCAGAGAAACATGTTCATGTTAAAGTGATGAACTACACCTGTGGATGAATAAAGCAAACATGGCTCTGAAAAGTGTAGTTAATTCTGAAAAAGGTTGATTTAGGTTGATGCCTCAACAGTAAATAACAGCAAAACAGGCCATAGCAAAATGTCTTTGCTGCTCATCCTCTTAGTCTTTTGCTCAACATATTCACATATAACCTTTAAATCAAAATTGCAATAGAAAAAAATATTTATACTTTTTTTTCTCTCATATACTGTGCCACACTTATTGGCACCCTATCGTGTAATATGTTGTGCAACCTCCTTTTGCTATAAACAGCTCTAAGTCTTCTCTTAAATTGTGTAATAAGTTGTGTAAGAAAACACAAAAAATGATTTGACATCATTCTAACATGCAGAATATCTTAAGATCATCTTTAGCAAAATGGGATAAACATATTCTTCAAAATAAGGGATGTAAAAGAGGGAAATAATCCATGTGCCGTTTATTACAAAAAATGGTAAACCAGACACTAAACAAACAAAACTAAAACTTGACATCAACATGAGCACTAGAACTTGAACTGGACTTAAACATGAGAACTTGACTAGAACAGACTTGAAAAGTGAACCAATGACAAGACAGAACTGAGAACCACCTGACAAGGCAACAAACCAATGAAAGCACATGAAGCAAAAAAAGCGCATGATAAGATCACATGAAGAGCACAGAATAGACACTAATGCTCTTTTAAGAATGCGAACCGCCAATAAGCTCAAAGAAGAAGAAGAAGAATAGACACTAGACCAGCGGTGGCGAACTCCGGCCCTAGAGAGCCGCAGCCCAGCAGAGTTCAGCTCCAACCCTAATTAAAACTCACCTGCCTGTAGCTTTCTAGTAACCCTTCAGACCTTGATTAGCTTGTTCAGGTGTGTTTGATTAGGGTTGAAACAAAACTCTGCAGAGCTGCGGCTCTCCAGGACTTACACTTACACAGGACTTAAACATGAACAAAACCTAAAACAGATGGGACACATGTATGTGTGGTAAATTACAAAGTTGAATAGCAGAAGGAGCCGTATGGAAAGGTGGTAGTGATTAATGTGTCTAACTAGAAAGAAAAACAACAATAGATTTGGTCTAAAGTGTTTGCAGTTCATACCTTAAACTTCATCTGATAGAGTGGATGTCACATAATTAGCATGATTTTGCTTCTCCTTTAACATGAACTGTCTTTAAGCTCATGTTTTCAATTGTTTCACTATTGCAGCTTGATGATGATAACGGATCACCAAACATGCAATTCGAGAATGAGAAAATACAAGGACTTGGAGTGCATCAAGCTCTTGATGAAGACTACAGGAACTCTGGCTATGACAGAGGTCATCTGGCACCAGTCTTCCAGGCACAGTCACAGAGCTGTGCGGATGCCACCTTCACTCTCACCAATGCTGCTCCACAAAACCCCTCTTTTAATCGAGGTCAGTGGAGGATACTAGAAAGAAATATCACAATATTTCTGCAGAGTGAATGTAAATTATATACTGTTTACATTGTGACAGGGGTGGTACCAGGTACTAAAAATATAAGTGATAGAGTGAAAGTGCCTAGTCATT